GAATTTGAGTCACAAGATTTTTCTCAACAAGTGTTAAGAGCAATTCCTCACATTTCATTGGAACTAGATCAATAGGGGTCTTCTCTTGAATCAGGTTAGGTCCATGATTAACTAAATGAGAACCTGACATATGGATCTTAGCTTATTTCTCCATGTCAGCACTACTAGTGCCCCCTATATTGTCATTCTTAACAGTTATTTCAATCATCTCGTCACACATTATGATGTAATAGAAATTCTTAGTGGAAACCCATAGAATATGGTTAATATATGAGGACTTTTGCATGTCGATGAACATGGTAATAAATTCCCTTTCAGTCATTGGTGGGTACACTTGGGATGCGACATCCCTCCACCGTTGTGTATATTCTCGAAAGTTTTCATTACACTTCATGTCCATATTTTGTAATGTTGTTCGATCAGGGGCCGTATCAATCATGTGCTTGTATTGACTCAAAAAGGCATGAGCCAAATCTTTTCAAGAGTAGATTTCAGTATGACTCATCTGATTATACCACAGGGCAACGAGTCTAGTTAAGTTGTCTTGAAAGTAGTAGATTAACATTTTATCATTGTCGGTGTACCCAATCATCCTTTGAATGAACTTAGTGAGATAAGTGGTAGGGATATTGGATCCACAGTAATACCCCAAAAAAATTGATTAGCGCTAATTTGTAATTTTTTAAAATTAGTGGCTAAAGTAGAAACTTGGAAAAGTTTAAGAACAAAGAGGTAATTTTCTCATAAAAAATCATTCCATAAATAAATAGTTTGTATTTAATAACGAATTCTCTCTGGAATTTAGATTTCGATCCAGAATTTGTGTAAAGAGCTATTAAGTGATAAAGCTCTATAAAGTATTCAGATAATCGAATCAAATCGAAAGTTTAAAAAAAATAGAAGGATGTTAGTATGGAGTTAGAAATATTATATTTGTATTTTTAATCAATAAAATTTAACATGGAACAATAGAATTAAGTGGATTTTCCATGTCAAATTAAAATAGTAAATTTTACTGACTAAATTAAAATTTAGAAAATTGAAAAGGTAAAGATGGAAATTGATAAATAAGATTTTTTATATTATTTAACTGTATTAAAATGGAGATAAAACGACGTCATAGAGGTAAATATCAAGATTCATTTAGGGTATATTTGACTTTTGGGACTAAAATAAATTTAAAATTCATTTTAATTAGAATTTAAGCCATGTGTACATGAGATATTTCTCATTTAAAATACATAAAAAAAAATTGTCTTCTTCCCCCTTTTTCTATATATTGCCATGTGTTTCATGGAGAACAAGCCAAGGTAAGTTTTTTTCTTATTTCTTCATTTTAGTCCTTTTTTCCTTTGATTTTTTTATTAAGTCGTGAAATAGAAAAATTATCTACATCAAATTCTCTTTCATTTGATATGAATATTACATGTTTTCCATGCTTTAATCATTGGTTTAATCGTTAGATTAGATTATGAACAAGTTGAATTTTGATGATCTATGGATAGGTGTTTGTGCTATTAATATTATATAGAGTTGTTTTTAAGTATAAATAATAATCAAAATCATTTAGAAATGTTTAAATATCACTTGGCTATGGCTAATTTTCAAGAGAAATTGTTGAAATTGGATGGTTGTTGATATGGAAATGATTGAAATTATATGGAAATGTTGTTAATGAGATGAAATTATACTTGAATCAATTTGGAAATTAAGCTTAATACACTTTAATCAATTAGGCCTAAGAGAAGAAGATTAAGAAAAATTATGGAAAAATTATACAAGGTTTAATGATGAATGTACAATTCTATATGCTTAGAATGTGATTTAAACCAATTTGGAAAATTGTGAAAGTATAGGAAACTAATCGCATAAATTGAGAAATAAATGTTGGAGTGCTAAATTTGATGTTTGGATGATGATTTAGATCAAGTTGGAAACTTGTGAAATTATAAGGACTTATTCAAAAAAATGATGGAAAATTTAGGGATTGAAGTGTAATTATTCAATAGATGATGTGCTATGCTAGAACTTAAATGTTAAAATGTTGAATTGATGTTATAATTTGAAATTGGACTAATTTGGTAAAGTTTGGAGATTAAATTATAAATATGGAAAAGTTAGGACTTAAGTGAAAATTATGTAATTATTGAGTTTTATGTTTGAATTAAATGCTAGAATTTTTTGTTGTGTTAATTGAAGTTTGAATTACAGTCAAATTGTAAAGTTATTAAGATTGAGGATCTAAGCAGGGATTACGCTTATGTGACCTTCGCAAACGGCGATTAGAGAAGGGGGCCACCACCGGATCGTGGTGGCCAAGTTTGGTTTTGGTCGTGGTTGGCCAAGTTTGGTTTTGGTCTTGGCATTTGTCGCTGTTCGTTGGAGGAGTGAGAGAAAAAACAAACATGGCAACGATATTTTAGGGTTTCACGTTTAATATACTTAAACAGCAAAGAATTAGTCTTAATATCGAAGGTTTTGGGTTAATGTCAATTAGGTTCTCCAACTTTAAGCGGGCCAAGTTTGGTTTTGGTCGTGGTGGCCAAGTTTGGTTTTGGTCTTGGCATTTGTCGCTGTTCGTTGGAGGAGTGAGAGAAAAAACAAACATGGCAACGATATTTTAGGGTTTCACGTTTAATATACTTAAACAGCAAAGAATTAGTCTTAATATCGAAGGTTTTGGGTTAATGTCAATTAGGTTCTCCAACTTTAAGCGCAAATTTGCAGTTTGGTCACTATTCTTCTTCTTTTTCTTATGTCGAATTTGTTGGCCGTATTTTGTAATTTCTCCTTTTTATTCACTGTTTTTGTAGCACTAATATTCGATACGACTTTGTGATGACCTGTACCAGGTATGACCCTTTTATTCTGCTAATTAATGCTCTTAATTTTCTTATTCGAATCAATTTTACGACCTTACGAAGACTCATCCCGGGATACGACTCGTATTATTATGGTCCGAATAAAAGTTTAATTTTTAATCACTAACTACTAACCTTTAAAATTTACTCAAATTAATTTTATGATATTTTAATTTTGTTTGATTCTTTAAATTTCTGTTTTTACGTTTCCACCCTTTAATTTACATTATTTTAATTTATGCCTTTAAATTTTCTGCATTTACATTTCAGTCCTGTTAAATGTGTATGTGTTAATTGCATTTCCAGTACTTATTTTTTTATGTTATTTGTTCTTTAGTCCTTTTACTTTGTTATGTTTGCTGTTGTGGTCTTAAAATTGTTACTTTTATTATTTAATTGTATATTTATTAAGCATGTTTTAGTTTCTGTTATTTGCTTTCCTGCCTACTATGTTTGCATTAATTACATTTTAGCCCTTTATAATTTATATACACGTATATATACTATGTTACATAATTGTTTGTTGGGGCCTTAAAATAGTCTTAGTACTTTATCTTTGTTCATCTACATACTATATTATATATATACATAGTCATATTTTTATATATTATATATTTATTTATGTTGTTTATATGTTTATAAATATTAAGTATTATTTTGTTGTGTTTGATTATATATTTAATATAAAAATGAGGTAATATTATTTTGCAAGAGGTATCTATAGAAACACGTCTTAATTGAGGAATGTGTTTTCGATGATTGTTTAAACAAAATAACGCTCTTTTTGGTATTTGAGTGAGTTTTTAAATATATTAAATATACGTATATTATTACTAAAAATCAGGACAATATGATTTTGTGTGAGAAATCTATGAAAAAATACCTTGACTGGCAAGGAAGGTATTTTCAAGGATTATGTGTATAAAATTATACCACTTAATTGTTTTTTAAAAGGATCATGATTTAAATAAATAATTGAATTTGTAAGTTTTGATATTTGGATGACGTATAATAGCATAGGTACTGATTTGGACGCTATAGGGATGCTCATCCTTCCCCATATGTAACTGACTCTCGAACCTTAAAAAAGAATTTATGGTTAAACATAGACTATTTTTATTTTAACTTATTTTTTCTTAAAAATTATTTAAAAATGTAATTTTAGGTATTCGACCTACCTAACTCAAAGGTCGATGTCGACTTTAAACAAATTTATTTTCCAAAATCTCGATCTATTTTTTTAAGTTAAGTTGTATTACAGCAAAAATAGGTTTTTAGTGGCATTTTTAAGCGGCGCTAAGGACACTATCAGCGCTAATAAGAAGCATTGCTAAAACGAACGCCGCAAAAGTTAGCGGCGTTTGTGAACCTAAAATGCCGCAAAAGGTCGAGTAACATAGCGACATTTTTTCTTTCAATCGTTGTTATGTGTTGTGATTTATAGTGGCATTTTTGTCCACAAACGCCGCTAATTATCCTATCTTTAGTGATGTTTTTTTTGCTACAAACGCTGCTAATTCTCTTGTCTTTAGTGGCGTCTGTAGTACTAAACGCCATTATATATTATGATTTGTAGTGGCATTTTTACCACAAACGCCGCTACTTTCAAAAGGTTGGTATAGGAAGGTTTGATTGGGTTGCTCTTCGTTGAACCCGTAAATTGTTGATCATCACTATCTTAATCCTTAAACTTCCATTAATGCTATTATAATATTATTAAAGAATATGAAGTAAGTAATTTATTAAAGAAAAAACAATTTATCATCATTCATCGTACATGATCTCTTTAAAGAATATTAAGTTCAAAGCTAACAAACTAAACTTTCATAGCTTTAAAGAATATCTTTGCACTCCTAGCGTTTTTCTTTTTCAATTACTTTCAGGACGGCTAAACCTCCAGTGATAGAGACAACACTCCAAGTTTTAAAGACTGAGGAAAGCATGATGAAAGAATACCATGGTTAGTGATTAAAAAATTATAATGCTAAGAAGCTTCATAAAGAAACCAAAAGATGCAAATGCAATACTTACTTGTAAACATCTAATCCGGCATACTTAAAGAGATTCTAGGAGTTAAGGTTTAAAGGTATACAAATAATAGCTTGTAATTTATAGTATCAAACGTGGAATATAAATAGCAAGGATATTAGAGTAGAAACAAATCCAACTCCTACACCTGCAAAGCAACAAGGAAAGTATCTTAGTGCTTGTGATTAAGAGGGAATACATGTATGGAACTGATAGAATATCAATCAATAAGTTATTAAAAATAAAAGCATTAAGAGTAGATCTCCTATTTGTATAGTTCGGTTTCAAACAAAATTTAGAAGACAAAAAAGACAAAAAAGGTGGCAAAAAACAAATATTTACCATCTATTCACTTGAATGATGAAGAATACAAAAACTTGTTTCCTTTATTCTTCCATTAAAAAGATTAATTTGCAAGTAGAATATAATGCAAGAGAAATAGACTCAGTAAGTCCAAAATTTAAGGCAAACCTGCAGACATAGAACCGACAAAGGTCTCAAGAAACCTGACAATCACCATAAAGAAGTTCTGTCCAGATGCATGATTTCTTACAAGGAATGTTGTCCTGCATAGAGAAACAAGACTTTAATTTAAACCGAACTAAAAAATCAAATCAGAGGACAAGTGCAAGTACATTACATACCTGTACAAAGATATTGCCATCTACATAAAGAATCATTCCACCCAGTAAATATTGTGCATGCACGCATAAGATGACAAATACAGGAAACAAGGGACCAACATGCAACAAAAACTTACAACGTCATTTAAGACGGATTCTTCAAAGATTAAAGCATAAAGGTTCCCATCAGTACCAAGTTCCTGCAATTAAGATCATCATACATGGATACAACGTCTAAACTGCAGAAGTGGGATGATTTGTCATGCTAAGATACTACTATATAAATATCCAAAGGAAAAAACCCTTAGATATCTCTATGCCATTATAACTACAAACTGATATCTCGTTAAAACCTTGGATACTGCTGCTATATAAATATTAAAAAGAAAGAAAAAAAACCTTGGATACTACTTTTATTTGTTATGTTGATTGTTTGGATACTACTGCAATTAAGATAATAAATTACAGAACAAGGGCTGTAGGGAATGAAAGTATATATATGCCTTTTCTTTTTTAAGGTAAAAGTCGACGAATTAGCAACTGAAAGAAAGGTTGTGATGCATGAGCATCCAAGGTTAGTTTAATTAGAATTTTCCTCTCAATCAAGTTGGTTCACCACTATATTATTATTAGAATCCAGTTCCATATTTAAGTTTGGAATCAAAAAAGAAAAAAAGCTTAATCCAACAATATAGACAATCTAATATTCTTAATATTTGAAGAATAAGTTTTCAATATTTTTGGAAGAATATAATTCATAATTATTCTTTTACAAGATAATTATTTAGATTTGGTGTTGCATTCACTAATATGCATAATTTACTTTGCTTTCTCTATTCATTTTTTCTTTTTACCAACTTTCTGGGGAGCAAATTCAAATGGCAGAAGAAGAAACCAAATTCCAACAAGCACTCTAGTTCGCTCCTTATCGATCAACAACAAATACAAGAGCTGAAATTTTAAAGCAAAGCTAAAGAACTGAAGTAAATTAAAGATCGTGTAGATAAACTATATCACTTGATGAGAGAAATAATGAGAACAATCAATCCAGTATAAAAAAATAACAAATTAAAAATCGAAAGAATGAAATTAGGGTTTAGAAAAATATGGGAATTTACCATAAGTATGAGCATGAACGATGACAGAGAGTCAAGCGTTGATGGAGTGACGTTGGAGGCCTCGACAGCTTTGAGTGGCGACGAGCAATAGTAGTTTCATGGATATTTCGGTATGTCCCGCAAAGATGGGAAAGGGGATCATGGGAACGTATGGAAATGGGAAAGGGAAAGGGTTTTATTAAAGTTTGCGGCATTTGTAGACACAAATGCCACCATTTATCATTTTATAACGGCGTTTTCTAAAAAAACACCACTAAGGTACAAGTCTGTTTCGACGTTTATTTAAAAAGCCACTATATATGAAACTTATTGCGGTGTTTTCTAAAAAACACCACTAAAGTACAAGTCTGTAGTGGCGTTTGTTCAAAAATACCACTATATATGAAACCTATTGTGGCGTTTGTGTAAAAAACGCCACTAAAGTACCAATTTGTTGTGGCAGTTGTCTAAAAACACCACGATATATGTACCCTATTGCAGCATTTGTAAAATAATGCCTCTAAAGTACTAGGTTTTAGCGGCATTTGTCTAAAAATGCCACGATAAACGCCACTAAAGTACGAGTTTTAGCGGCGTTTGTTGAAAAACGCCATTAATGTTACCATTTAGTGGCGTTTTGGATATAAACGCCGTGATATGTATAAATTTAGTGGCATTTGCTTTGAAAACGCCGCAACAAACGCTGCTATATACCTATTTTGCTGCAGTGTTGGATCGCTCCCTTCCAAGCACTTAAAAACCTTAAGGATCGTTCTGACAGTTATATTACTGATGTGATAATTAAAGGCAATAACTTAATGATCCACATGTAAATAATGATATGTAGATGGTCTAAATCCTATAAAATATTAATTAAATATTTGATATAAATATCATATTTTAATAATTTTCATCTTTTTTATAAAAAATAACATCTTTTTATATTTTTAATAGTTTTTATAATTTATTTCTATTTATAATTTATTTTCATTTTTATGAGTTTATTGATTTTTATCATTTGTAGATGTGAACATTTTAGAGTATGCCATATATATTCATATATTGGTTCATTTATTAATTAACTATTAATATGGATCAATTGACATAAATTGTTAATTGATGGGATCAAATGATTTTTTTTAATAATGGAATGTTTTAATAAGATACATCTTGATTTATGATTACTTAGTTAAGGGTGAATTTTTATAAAACTTAAATTATTTTTAGTTTTGTATTGAGATTTTTTCTCTAATTATTTAATTCAAATTTGGTTAAATTTATAATAGGCTTAATTCTTACTGCTGACTCAAATACATCATTTGTTAGCCCAATATCGTTTTAAAACAACGGTTTGCAGCTTTAATCAGAATACTCCTAAGGTTGAACAAGAAAAACCAATTAATCAAGAATAGATTAGAATTATGGTGTTTGAATAGTTTACAGCCTATAAATTTACAATCTTAATTATTTAAATTAAATTGATCATAGACCCGAATATTAATCATTCTATATTGATTCAACTCCATTTATCTTAGATTAAAACAAAATTTGAATCATTTTTTTATTAAGCTAAAGTGATTACAAAATAGTATCTGTCAAATTTAATCTTACTAAAATTGAACTTAAATCCCAAGCTAAAATATAATCTAACTCGACCATAATCTAAACAAACCGATTACCACGTCCACTTCCTCTCCCACCTTTCGTCCTTGCATAGAATGTTATAATATAAAAGAGTTTAGCCGTTGATATCCCCTAATTAACCACTCAATTGAGAAAATTACTTTCAATTTTTAAAGGAGTTTTTGTATGGTACAGATTAGTGGTGTTTAATGATGAGTTGTTCGAATTCGATTCAGTTAAAACTCTGTAAATATTTGACTCGGGTTGATTCGATTTAAACTCGAACTTGACTCGAGACCTTAACGAATTGAGTCGAGCAAAGTCCGTCGTTAATATGTTAGTTTGACGTATTTCTGGATTGTTACTTTAGTTTTAATATGTTAGTTTGGTGTATTTGTGGATTGTTATCTTGAAATTTTGACTTTGAAATTGCTTCATATTCTCTTTCGATAATTTTTTTTGGTTAATTTTGTTATTTTATGTTTATATTAAGCTCTATATAATATTAGTAGATTTTATCTATATTTTAAAACTAGGTAAAATTTCTATTGAACTTAACGGATAACGAGTTGAGCAACAAATTTTTTTAACGAGTACAAGTCGATCATTACCAAACTCAAGATCGACTCACTCAAGAAGCACCCCTAGTATAAATGCTTCAATACATATAAAACAAAGACATGGGTTTCATTAAAAACCTTCCGTAAATCTAAATGAAGGGGAAAAAGTACACCTTATTTTATAAACATCTTTTGTGAAAAAATAGATAACTAACATTTTAGACCAATAAATCACATTGCAAATGTAAGTATTAAAAAATCTAAAATGTACTTTTTATATAATATACACAAAGATTAATTTCTCAGACTGTCTAATTATATTTAATACATAAATTTAATGAATATATCAAATAGATTTTATAATTTTATTTTATTTTATCAAATAATACTTACATGTAAAAGTTTGTTAAATATAGGAAGAGCTAGCCCAATAAACGATGTTAGACTGATAAAGCATATAGTAATGAAAACGTATGTACAATTAATAAAAGATTAACAAGTTTTTATGACATAATTAAGTTTAAAAAAAAAGGTCCTAGACATGAAAATTAAGAAAGAAATTCTGCATTAAATATATATATTCAATCGAATTTCCAAATGACTGACTTGGAAGACAATACTAATTAACCAAATAGAAAGATCGGCACACTTGATCACTTTGTCAGATACTTTGAATTCAAAAAGTTAATATAACCCAATTTCTTAATGTATATGAATATATTATAGAAGAAAAAGAATTTTCAAGATTTGGTTCAACCATTGAAACAAACCACCACTTTTATCAATTTTTTTTGGAGTATCAACCACTAAATTAACGACTTTTGAAGTCTTTATCAAAAAAACAAAAAAAATCAACCACTTTAACTAACCCTCTTTGACATTGGCACGTACACATAATAGTTTTAAATTTTCATCACATAATTTAACAAAAGTATTTGACAATTTTAACATAAAATATGTGGGTATTGTAGAAACCTAAACCACAATTCATCACTTAACCATCGACTATTACTTGTGAAATTGTATTTCCTGATATTTCAATTTATGTGATTCGATTTTCTTGTTTTTTAAATTTATGTGATTTTATTTCCTTTTCTTTTACAAGATGTGGCTTTCTTCTATATTTTTTTTAATGTTTAGGATTCGTTATTTCCGGTTTACGATTTTGTTCTCGTGCTTAATATGTTAAATTTTAATCTAACCCTAAACCATTTTAACATACCTAAAATCCCTAAACCACCTTCAACCTAAACCATTTTCTTTCATTGTTACAAAAACCCTAAATCGCCTCATCAACGAGCGATATTCAAAAAACAAAGGCGCCTCCTCTGACACACGCCTTCCATTGTGGCACCAAATCATCAAAAACCCAAGTTTCCATCCACCTCAGCAAGGCGAATTTCACACAATGTGTTTTCCCCTTTTCTATCAGAAATGGTGCTACTTTTGTATATATTCGAGAAATAGTACTAAATAGGTGTTTTTTGGGTGATTTTTAGATAAAATTAGGCATGTAAATGAACTGAACGTTCAGCGAACTGTTCATGAATCGTGCGGCGGGAAGTTCGTTTATGTGCGTTTATTTATTAAATGAACGAACATGAACAAGATTTTGTGTTCGTTTAATTAAATGAACGAACATGAACATATGTCTCGTTCGTTCATTTACGTTCGTGAACGTTCGATTATGTTCGTTTATATGCGTTTAGTTATGTTCGTTTATGTGCGTTCATTTATGTTTAACCTAATATTCTTAAATCAATTTTGGTGACCAATTTGTATGTATCTTAAAAATATTAATTAATATGATATTTTGATGACCAACTTCATAATTAACCCAATTTTACAACCTGATTAAGCGGTAATACAAAAAACCCTAAATCTA